AGGCTGATTGAGCTCAGTGCTGGACAAGGAAGTACAGGCAGTCCCCAAGTTTGTTCTGTAGGTTTGTTCTTAAGTTGAATTTGTATGTAAGTCAGAAGAGGGACATTTTTTAAGTGTAACTATAGATATGTGTGTGTGTGTGTATTCTGGATAGCATAGGGAAAGGCTAACATGCCTGTAATGTTTCTTTTGCAGTTTTTGACCCGCTCAAAAGGTTTCACCTCACTTTCTGTCCTGTGATAATTGAATTTTGAAAAAAAAAGGCTGTTGTGGAAAAATAGGTGATAAAGCTTCAGTGGTTAAGACACCTTTCCCTATGATAATAATCCTTTCAGGAGTGGATTTCCCTTCATAGACGTAGATAATAATAATAATAATAATCTTTATTTATACCCCGCCACCATCTCCCCCAACGGGGACTTAGAGCGGCTTACATGGGGCCAAGCCCGAACAACAAATTACAAAACAAAAATACAAATGGCAGTAAAATAAACAACATAAACAATAAAATATAAAACATCAAAGCATATAAACAATATACACAGAACATAGAAACCAAACATAATGACAAACGTAATGTACATAAAATGATTTTAAAAACTGATTTAAAAACTCAAGGTGAGATAAAGGGGCAGAACTGTTTGTAGGGGAGAACTCATAGAGAGACAGGAAAATAAACGGACCTTCGTAGGGGGGGTGGGGGGTGGGGAGAATTCCTGGGTCATGAACGTTGAGGGAACAATAGCATAAAATGAGATTTCTCTCACTTCCTGTTGTCTCACTTCTGCCCTTAACTATGAGTTGTATGTAAGATGTATTGACTCATCAATCATAGAATCATAGACCTGGAAGAGACCACATGGACCATCTAATCCAACCCCCTGAGTTTGTAACTTGAGGAGTGCCTGTATATCCATTCCCATTTTCCCAGCCATCGTAAGGGCAACAAGTCTGTTTTATCAGTGAGTCCGCTTCGGAAAGACCAACAGATCAAGGCTTCCCTGCAAATAGTTTTTCTTGTACTTACTCTATTTATTTATTTAATAAATAAATAAATAACCCCCTGCTGTTAATTAAAAGGTACATGGATGCATGTCTGATTCAATGCCAAGTTGCTGTAACCCATGGCCAATACGGCATCAGTACTGTGTTCTTTAACAAACTATTTTTGATTTACTGTTTCTTGATTTATTTTGCCTAAACTTACTGTGCCTCTAATCTTGCAACTTCTCCTTTCGGCCCCATGTTCATGGAACAGTGAAGATGCTAAGCATTATGTAGAGGAAAGGTTCATTGTTTTGGAGTGATATGAATAATGGACTTGTGTGGTCTTTGAAAGATTTTTTTCCATTTCTTTTCCTTACAGGATGGAGCCATTCTGATAGCTGTCATTTCAAAGGAAAGCTGAAAGAAACCAAAAAAAAAAAAAAACACCCAGTGGAAAGAACCCACAAGGAGACCAGGGTCCCAATTCCAAACAGCCCAAACCCTTATGAGTGAGTCCCAAGTAGAATAAATCTATTGAATGCACTGTTGAGTTGACATTGAAGCCAAATAAGTTTAGAAGGAAATCCATGTTCACCATACGCTATTATGAGTGATTTGATCTGAATTTTTATCAATGCCGGTCTTCTCCCAATTTTATCAGTCTTTTATCTGGAGTCCTGGAGGTTATCCTATATATATATTTCCACCCTACAAACAGTTATTTCTGGCCACTAAATCCACCTAAACGGGCCCCTTGTTGAGTCTGCAAACTGATTAGCCCAGTCCTGATAATTGGAAACACCCACACGGCTGCCTTTGGAGGCTTCGCTTTTAGAGAGTTGCATCTAGGTCAGCTTCCCACAAACTGACTACCTCCAAATGTGTTATACTGTGTTGACTGGGGACGATTGGAGTTGTAGTTCAGTTAAACTAGGAGTGGAGAATGTGCAAACCATGTTCTGTATGTGGCCTTTGGGACTTGTTTTTATGCCCTGCTCCTCAAATGTTTTGATTTTTCTTAGTTTAAAAGCATGTGTTCCAATCTACAAATAACCCCTCTGATTACACATATTTCTTTATTTCATTTATTGATTGCACTTGCCTTTCTTTGCTGCCTTTCTGCTGGAGTGAGACTGATGAACACAAGGGAGAGTTTTGTCCTAGGAGTCAGTAGTTCTCCTCTATGATGCAGAGATAGTTAATTTATGATACTGCCTGGGGTTAGGAACAAAGATATATATACCTCTCTTTGGTGAAGACTTTATTTGACCTCAATGGACTGATTTGGATGACGATTTTAACCTGGCAAACTATTTTAATGTATATTTATAACTGTTTTAATGTATATGGTTATGTTTTATGATATGTTTTATATTGTATCGGCACTGAATGGCTGCCTATTGGAAGCCGTCCTGAGTCCCTCTTCAGAGGTTGAGAAGGGCGGGGTATAAATGTTTTAAATCAGTGGTCCTCAAACTAAGGCCCGGGGACCGGATACGGCCCTCCGAGGTCATATATCCAGCCCTCACTCTGAGTCAATCTAAGTCTGAAATGACTTGAAAGCACATAACAACAACAATCCTATCTCATCAGCCAACAGCAGGCCCACATTTCCCATTGAAATACTAATAAGTTTATATTTGTTAAAATTGTTCTTCATTTTAATTATTGTATCGTTTTAAGTGTTTTTCCCCCCACTACAAATAAGATATGTGCAGTGTGCAGAGGAATTCATTCATGGTTTTTTTTTTTTCAAATTATAATCCAGCCCTCCAACAGTCTGAGGGACTGTGACCTGGCCCTCTGTTTAAAAAGTTTAAAGACCCCTGTTTTAAATAAATAAATAAATACATTTGTATACATGTGTGAATGTGGATATTGATGTGGATGTGGTTGTCACTGCCACCCTGCAAAGGATTCTGCAAAGATTTAGACTTGATTCTGCTTTTATGTATCTCACTATTAATGCCCAATCTCCAAGGTGTACCAGGTCTAATTTCCTGAAGTTTTCACTTACAGGAAAGTTGTGGGTTTTGTCAGTTTTAGTTGTGTGTCCTAATCTGCATTTCCCCAGTGGGTTTTAACCTGTATTTTAACTTCTTGTGTGTCTTTTAATGTATGTCTTTTAATAGTGTTTTATATCTTGTTTTAATTATGTTTATCCCACCTCGAGCCGCAAGAGGAATATTATTATTATTATTATTATTATTATTATTATTATTATTAAGGACTGAATGTTCCCAACCCCCACCCCAAAAGAGCAATTTCTGGAGGAGGAAAAAAACACACCTTGTGCATCCAAAACTATGCATTACGTGGCTGTGCACCTACCTCCAATGGCAGGTAAATGGACTTGTCACCCATCGTTCAGTAGAAATCAAGTTGCCTTCTGACAGACCAGGGCCCATATCTGATTCTTTGTCTGAAGGAGATTAGGCCCACAAAAATCAATTGTTGTTGTTCATTCCTGTCAACTTGACTTTGACTCATAGAGATCCTGTGAATGAGAGAGGTCCATCCTCAGGTCTCACAAATTCAAGGCTGTACCTTCCACTTTTCCTTCTCCCTTCCCAAGAATTACTGTCTTTTCTGGGGAGTCATATCTTGACATGACGTGGCCACAATACACTAGTCTCAGTTTCAGCATCTTGGCTCCTGAGGGGAGTTTGGACTGGGTTTGCTCGAAGACCCATAGGTCTGTTTTTGGGATCTGTGGCATCTGCAAAACTCTTCTCCAGCAACACATTTCAAAAAAGTTGATTTTCTTCCTTTTTCTTCTTTCTTCACTGCCCAACTTACACAACTGTACACAGAAATGGGAAATCGGATGGCTTGGACCTTCCTAAATGTAGTCTTATCTTGACACTTGGGGATCTTGTCTCCTTCCAGGTTCTCTTCTCATTTCTTGACTGCAGTCTCCGTTCTTCATTTATGACTACGCCAATCATAGAAACTACAAGGGTTGAATGAAAAGTAATGCCTCCACCTTCGTAACTTCTCAACAGATGGCAGTACTGTTATGCAGCAGGTACTGGCTTGTTTAGTAGACTCTCCTCTACAATTTCATTTTGGCAGGAAGCCTTAGCATTGAACAGTTGTGTTGTTAAAGTGCAAAGTATGGAACCCTGCACAGACGGTCAGTCAATGCGACTTAAGCAACATGCAGTCATTGAGTTCTTGACAGTAGAAGGTGTCACCCCAAAGGAGATTCATCAGAAAATGCAAGCTGTTTATGGTGATTGTGTTGATGTGAGTACTGTGCATCGTTGGGCGAGTAAGTTTAACGATGTTGAGGTGGGAACATCTGACTTGCATGACAAACAAAAGTTGGATGTCCTGTGACAGCAACCACCAAGTTTCACAAGCAAAAGGTTGACAGATTGATTCAGGACGATCGTCGTATCACTCAGAGAGAAATTTCAAGCATAATCAACATTTCACAAGAATGTGTGGTCACATTGTTGCTTTGCTTGGCTATCGGAAGATCTGTACACAATGGGTACCCAGGATGAGAGAACCGTGAGATGCTGGTTGCAGAAACAGTGGCAACTTCTTCCGTGATGGCTTCAGAAAACTTGTTCATCGTTGGCAGAAATGTATCCAGTTGTCTGGTGATTATGTGGAAAAGTGAATGGTGGTAGTTAAAGAGCACATTCTAAGGATTATTTCTGCGTTTGATTTATTAAAATATTCCCATCCAAACCCAAGTAACGAATGTGGAGGCATTACTTTTCATTCAACCCTCGTATTTCAGTGGCTTCATCTTCTCATTTAAAATCATGCTAAGTGATCTGTGGTCATTACTTTTGTTTCTTGGATATTCAACCTGCACGATCAGGCATTTATTACACTGTATGTTTTCATATTTTCAAAGGTTTGTAATGGGCACATGATGTCTGTAAGTGAGGTGTTCAGATTTCACTGGGAATCTTGGTCTCCATCCTCTTCCACCAGAAATCTTTTCCCTGCATGTTGTGTGCCTGATGAGGGGATGGCCCTTTCACTGCCTTAGATTTTGTTTAAAAGTCGGCTTTTTATTAAATAAGAACGAATTGGAAAGAAAAACCAGGAAAACCAAACGAGGAGGTCAGTCACTTGACAGAAGGAGGTTTTTTTTTTTCTCCAGGAACAACGACCACAAAGGTGAAGGGAGGGATGGATGGATGGAGGGGATGGACTGTTCTTTCACCTTAAGGGAGCTCCTTTGCCCCCTTCGAGGGTCTTGCTCCGGGAAAGCGGCTCTTCTTTCCCGTTTTAAAGTGCTGTTCGACATCCACAGTTTACAAGGAAGGAGTGGGGCCAATAAATATACAGAAGAAAGAAAACCTTCCATAAATAAATAAATAAATAAATAAATAAATAACCAAATTGAAAGAAACCAAAAGGAATAAGAAGAGGGGGGACTCACAGTACGGTTCTATATCCATTGCACATCGCCACTCAGGACCCCCGGAGCCCCCATTTCCAGTCCAAAGGGTCCTTTGTCTTTATTTACACAGCTCCGGGAATGAGGGGGAGAGGTCTCACTCTGGATTCCCCCCTTGGTTTGGCTTATTTACAAGGTTCTTTTCCTCCTCCTCCTCCTGTTCAGGTGGGTCTGGCGGGCGTTTAGAGGGGGAAATGTCAGTCTGATGGGGGCCTTCCATTCACTGGGGCAGCAGCGGGGGCTTGAAGGAGCAGGTCCCGGTGCAGTGCCGTGGGGTCAGCATCTTGCAGGAGAAGTGGTGCAGTGCATCATGTGCCTCTGTGAGGTGGATGGGCAAAACCAGAGAGAGACAGAAAGAGAGAGACAGGCATCAGGTCAGGCTGCCCTTTGACCCCAGCTCTGAAAGGACCCTCCCTGTAAGGCCCCCTCCTCCCAAACCCCAGAGGAAGGGGGGCATCCAAATATAAACAGGGGCGAGGCCTTGGGTTGTGTGGGCATTCTAACAATCTTGCAGATCTGTTTTATTGCCTTCTTCCAATTGCATTATAGTAGTAGTAAAGGTAAAGGTTTTCCCCAGATGTTACACCCAGTCAAGTCTGACTCTAGGAGTTGGTCCTCATCTCCATTTCTAAGCTGAAGAGCTGGTGTTGTCCGTAGACACCTCCAAGCTCATGTGGCCAGCATGACTGCATGGAGTGCCTTTACCTTCCTGCCAGAGCGGTACCTATTGATCTACTCACACTTGCATGTTTTCAAACTGCTAGGTTGGCAGAAGCTGGGGCTAACAGTGGGAGCTCACGCTGTTCCCCAGATTTGAACCTGCAACCTTTCAATCAGCAAGTTCAGCAGCTCAGTGGTTTAATCCACTGTGTCACCAGAGGCTTCTATGATAGTACTATGTAACACAATTTTTGTTCCTGAGTTAGAAATGTCATTTCCTAATTGGTTCTATCGTTTAAAAAAAACATGGAAAAAGTTTACAAAACTGCAAAATCTTATGTTTTGTGAGACATCCCGCAGCACTTTTTCCTCTTGTTTTTCCAATGAATATCTCATGTAATCTCAACCAAATTAATGTAGTTGGTGGCAGCCACAAAAACAAAGTTCTTGGAGCAGAACAACTACTTTTAAAGTAAATAACACACAATTAAACAGGAAATAACACTTTCAAACCAGAAACAGAATATTTTCCAAATTTTGTTACATAGTGTAGTCAACTATTCTTCTTTGCTGGTAGGCAGAAAGATTACTCCCTTTGATATTTAACAAGAGGAGAAGACCCTTTTGTAGGCAGAAAGATATTTAAAAAGAGGAGAAGATCCTTTTATTTGAAGATAGCCAGTATGAGCTGCCCTTTGCCGTCAATCTCAGGTATTCCTTTTCCTCACCATGAAGTGAGAGAAAGTTTCTCCCTTTCCTTACTAAGGCTCCTTTTACACAGCTGAATAAAATCCATATTTTCTGCTTTTCTGCTTCTGGAATATATGGCAGTGTGGACTCAGATAACCCAGTTCAAAGCAGGTATTGTGGGATTTTCTGCCTTGATCTTCTGGGTTCTATGGCTATATGAAAGGGCCCTAAGAGAGAGAGAGAGAGAGCAAGAGAGAGAGAATCTTCTGTTTTACTGGATTTAGTCTTTTTTTCTACTTGGATTTCATCCACCTTCAAGTCTACCTAAGAAGCTGCCTCCTTGGCAACCTGAGTTGGAGGAGATGACATTTGAGGAGCTCCCAATCCTCCCCTGAAGCTAGGGCTCTGTCCACCCTGCAGAACTGCAGCAGTTTTGACATCACCTGAATGGCCAGTGCTCAATTCTGGAGTTTCATGGCTCTATGAATCCATTCCTTGTGATTGTGAGGCATGGACTTGCCCTTTGCAGCCAGAAAGAGGACACCAGAACAATATTTTGGGGGGGGGGGGCTGTATGTGTGGAATGCAGAGGATGGAAGGTAGTCCCTCCTTTCCCACCAACCTTTTAGCTTCTGTTGAATGGCATAGCGGGCCTTCCGCTCTTGGTCCAGTTCATTGCACAGCGTATCTGCAAAGCAAGGCAGGGAGGTTGACCATTGACGTATAATTCTTATAATGTTTGCATATTTGTGGATTTTAAATTGTACTGAAATGCTTTTAATGTAAGCCACTTTGAACTTCCTCCGTGGAGAGAAAACCCGGGATAATAATAATAACAACAGCAACAACAACAACAAGCTTTCCATGCCCTGGCTGCCCAGCACAAGTCAGTCAAGATGGTCCCAGTGATGATTGGCATACTGGGTGCAGTGCCTAAAAACCTTGGCCTGCACTTAAAAACAATTGGTGCAGTCTTGGACACTTGGGAAGTAACTGATGTGTGATACAATACAAAAGCCAGCATAGAGATCTTGCTTGCTGTGTAGTAATCTTGTTGTGTATCAAATAATAATAACAATCGAGATCCCTGTTGTCTCCTCTGACTGGCAGCAGTCACGGGGCTCCAGGGTTTCAGGCAGTGTTCCTTTCTTAGATAAAGATACCTTTGAGGATTCAGCTTGGAAGTTGTCTAGAACAGAGCTTTCCAAATTTTCCATTTTGGTGACACACCTTTTTAGACAGGTGTCCTATAGTTTCCTGTGTAATTTCCTCTAATGTCGCTCCATGGGGTTCGCCACAAATATCATTGTCAACCCATTTTCCTTGCTTAATTAGAAACTTTGTCCATTTTAGTGGTAATTAATTACTGCAAGTGAATCTGCAAATTGTGCAAATTATAAAATTGGCAACAGTATGCACACTTGAACAGCGTCAGCACTCTACTTCTGGAGTGTTTGAACCTCTCTGGGTGTTAAATGGAGGATGGATGGCCAGCCTCTGTTTTGATTGTATCTTCTTTCCTGGTAGAAGGGGGTCGGATTGGATGCCCTTTGGGGTCCTTTCCAACTCTAGGAGTCTTTGGTTCCATAGCCCTATTTCTCAATGAACCTGGTAATGTTTATGACTGGGTGATCATCTGTCGGGGGGTGTTTTGGTTGTGCCTGGTGGAAGGGGGCTGGACTGGGGAGGGGAACATTTGGGGGCCCCTCTCTGTGGCCTCCTTTCTTACCCCTCACGATCTGCAGCTGCTGCACCATCTCTTCCCGGTAGGCCAGCTCCCGCTTCATCTGGTCTTGGAAGTTGTCTGGGAAGGAAGAAAAGATGGCATTCAGAGGCAGGCAGGAGGTATCAACATTATACAATAGGCATGGGCAAACTTCGGCTCTCCCTCCAGGTGTTTTGGACTCCAACTCCCACAATTCCTAACAGCCTCAGGCCCCTTCCTTTTCCCCCTCAGCCGCTTAAGCCTCCTGGGAGCTGTGGTTTGGCAGAGAAGGCAAAAGACTTATTAGAGTTGGGTAGAAGGTGCCTGTGGAAGCTTGACAGTTCAGAAGAAAATTGAAAGTATTCCTTTCTTCCCTCAAGAAGACACTTTTCTGAACGTGTTCTTTTCCTCTTCAATTGAAACAGAGGGAAAGGCGAAAGACACCAAGAGAGGGAAAAGGGGAGGGAGGGGCAAATGTCATCCGGTAATGCCTTTTGTATTGTGTCCAATACTTTGAACAAATGGGTTGGCAGCCCAGGCAGACTCCTCCTTCAGCACCTTGGAGAGCTCCCTGTTTTAATCTGAGATGGGAGAAATACAGGCAGTCCCCCAGTTAGGAACAAGATGGGTTCTGTAGGTTTGTTCTTAAATTGAATTTGTTTGTAAGTCGGAACAGATACATTTGTAAGTGTCACTATAGCCCCATCTGTCTGTCTGTCTGTCTGTCTTTCTATCTATCTACACATATATACTAGGGTTGAATGAACTCCTCAACTAATGGCAGTAGTGGTATGCGGCAGGTACTGGCTTGTTCAGTAGACTCTCCTCTACAGTTCCATTTTGGCGGGAAGCCTTAGCATTGAATGGTTGTGTTGTTAAAGTGGGAAGTATGGAACCCTGCACAGATGATCGGTCAATGCGATTTAAGCAATGTGCAGTAATTGAATTCTTGACAGCAGAAAGTGTCACCTCAACATCTTTAAACTTACTTGCCCAATGACGTACAGTACTCATATCAACATAATCACCATAAACAGCTTGCATTCTCTGATGAATCTCCTTTGGGGTGACACATTCTGCTGTCAAGAATTCAATGATTGCATGTTGTTTAAGTCGCATGACTGACCGTCTGTGCAGGATTCCATACTTCACACTTTAACAACACAACCATTCAATGCTAAGGCTTCCTGCCAAAATGGAACTGTAGAGGAGAGTCTACTGAACAAGCCAGTACCTGCCGTATACCAGTACTGCCATCTGTTGAGGAGTTATGAAGGTGGAGGCATTACTTTTCATTCAACCCTCATACTTCTAAGGCGAAGGGGAAGCAAGCAGGAAAGGTGGCCCCTTGGCTCATTTCCTCCCTCTTTCTCACCATCTATCCTTCCTTCCCCTCTCTTTCCTTTCTTCCCTCCTCTTTCTCCCTTTCTCTTCTTTCCCTTCCACCCTTTTCTTCCCTTTCCTTCCCCTTCCATTTCTCCTCCCTTCCTCCCTTGCATCCTTCTTTCTCCTTCCATCCCGTCTGTCCTTCCTTCCTTCCCTTTTGTCTTTCCTTCCTTCTCTACCCTCCCTCCCTCCATTCCCTTCCTCCTTTTCATCCTTCCTTCCATTCTTCCACCCTTTCATCCTTCCTTTCGTCCTTCCTCCTTACCTCCCTCTTTCTCCTTCCATCCTTCCCTTCCGAAATAACAATATTATAAACACCAAAAGCAATAACTACCTTTGAGGCTTTGGAATTCCCGCTCCAGTTTCTTCCTGAGTTCCATCTGCTCCAGGAGGAGTTTTTGCAACTCATCTGTGGAGGGAAAGGAAAGCAAGGCTAGCCAAGGCTTTCTCGGGAAAGGAAGGAAGAGAAGGAAAGAAGAGAAGGAAGCAAGGGGAAGGAGGAGAAGGAAAGAAAAGAAGGAAGGAAGAGAAGGAAAGAAGAGAAGGAGAAGGAGAAAGAAAGAGAAGGAAGGAAGAGGAGAAAAAGAGAAGGAGAAAGGAAGGGGAAGAAAAGGAGGAAGAAGAGGAAGGAAAGAAGGAAGAAGGAAGAAAGAAGGGAAGAAAGGAAGGAAAGAAGAGAAGGGAGGAAGGAAGGGAGAAAGAAGGAAAGAAAGAAAAGAAGAAAGAAGAGGAGGAAAGAAAAGGAAGGAAGAGAGAGAAGAGAAGGAAAGAGAGAAGGGAAGAAGGGAAAGGAAGAAGGAAGAAAGAGAAGGAAAGAAAGAAGAAGGAAGAGAAGGAAAAGAAAGGAAGGAAGAGAAGAAAGAGAAGAGAAGAGAGGAAAAGAAGAGAAGAAGGAAAGGGAGGAAAGAAAGAAAGGGAGGAAGAGAGAAAGAAGGAAGGAGGAAGGAAGGGAAGAAAGAAAGGAAGAGGAAGGAAGAAGGGAAGAAAGAAGAAGGGAAAGAGAAGAGAAAGAGGAAAGAAGGGAAAGAGAGAGAAGAGAAGAAAGGGGAAAGAAGGAAAAGAGAGAGAGGGAAAGGAAAGAGAGAAGGAAGGAAAGGGAAAAAAGAGAAAGAAGAGAGGAAGAAGAGAGAGGAAGGAAGGGGGAAGGAAAGAAGGAAGAAGGAAGGAAAGGAAGGGAAAGGAAGGAGGAAGGAAAGAAAGAAAAAAGAAGAAAAAAAGAAGAAGAGAAAGAGAAGAGAAGAGAAGAGAAGAGAAGAGAAGAAGGAAGGAAGGGGAAGGAAACTGGCCCCGTTGGGCGCCTTTCGTAGATCATGCCTTCATCTCGTCTCATTCTTATTTCTCCGCCCCGCTTCCCCTCCCCAGGATTGGGACCGGAAGCCGCTCACAATTCCAGTTAAAAGACACCCAAGTTAAATCTTGAAGTAGCGTTAAACTCCGAGAGCTGGATTGGGGCTCTTTCTCCCCATCCGCACTCACCTCTGGCCATGTTCCCGAAGTCTTTCTCGCCCAGCTGGGTCCCGGCGATGACGTCGATGCTGAGCGACTCCTCACCTGCGGCCCCACAACAACAACAAAAGGGGGGGGGGGGAGAGATACATTCAAGATCGAGGGAAAAGGTTGCTCACCCGCTTCTTTCACTCCCGTCTCGCTTTTATCCACAATGCCTTCACAGAAGGAAAAGCCTCATTTGATCTACTTCCGAGGCTTCGGAATCTCGTCGAAACCGAGAGGGTTCGGATAATTAAAAGCGATTCCGTCTCAGAGATGGGATCTCTGTCCCGATCCGTCCCGATCTGTCCCGAAATGTCCCACAAACAAAGGCATAGCCAGGCTCGAGGTCCTGGTGCCTCCCGAAGACGAAGTAGATCCCAAGAATGGCCCGATTCCGAGTTCTTTGTGAAAACGATCCCTCAAGGAAGGGAAGCGGCAAAGGAGGGTGGAGAAACAAGGGACGAAACGGAGGAAAGGAAGGGGTGGTGGCGAGGAAAACGAGGACCAAAGGAAGAGCTTTGTAGCCGAATCTCTATAGGAGAAGCTCCTGTTTCTCTTTCTCCTATTTCTGTTTCAACCCCAACTGTTTGGGATTTAGATCCCTTTAAAAATGTGGAGGATTTGAGGAAAATATTATTACCATTAATAATTATTACTATTAATAATCATTACTGTTATTATTACGTTGACTGGAAAAATGATGGTGATGTTACTGGCCCAGACACATTTTGGGGCCTCACTTGTGAGCCCTGTTTCTGGCCTTATTAATTATTACAATTAATAATCTAAGTGTACAATTAATACACTGGCCCACAGATATTTCCGTTGCTCACATGTGATCTGATTATTACTATTTATTATTAATTATTACTGTTGTTATTATTGTTATTATTAATATTACGTTACGTTATTAATTATTACAATTAACATTATTTATTATTGTTATTATTATTAATATTACGTTGGCAGGGGTAATGGCGGTGGTAAGTACACTAGCCCACACACATTTCGGTGCCTCACATGTGAGCCCTGTTTCTGGGTCTTATGAATTATTACTATTTATTATTATTTATTATTACTAGTAGTACTTTGACCAGGGTAATGGCGGTGATGATTACACTGGCCCAAACACATTTCTGTGCCCCACATGTGAGCCCTGTTTCTGGGTCTTATTACTACTATTTATTATTATTATTATTATTATTATTATTGCTACTGCTACTACTACGTTGACAAGGGTAATGGCGGTGATGATTACACTGGCCCAAACACATTTCTGTGCCTCACATGTGAGCCCTGTTTCTGAGTCTTATTATTACTATTATTATTTATTATTACTGTTATTATTACTACTACTACGTTGACGGAAGTAATGGCAGTGATGGTTACACTGGCCCACACACAATTTTGGTGCCTCACTTGTGAGCCCTGTTTCTGGCTTTATTAATTATTACAATTAGTATTATTTATTAGTATTATTATTATTAATATTACGTTGAAGGGGTAGTTGCTGTATTAAATACACTAGCCCACACACATTTCGGTCTCTCACATGTGAGCTCTGCTTCTGGGTTTTATTTATTTATTATTATTATTATTATTATTATTATTATTATTATTTACTGTTATTACTACCTTGACAGGGGAAATGTCGGTGATAATGTCACTGGCCCACATACAATTTGGGTGCTTCACTTGTGAGCCCTGTTTTTGGATCTTATTATTACTATTTTTTATTATTATTACTGTTATTATTGTTGTTGTTGTTGTTGTTGTTGTTATTATCATTACGTTGACAGGGGTAGTGGCGGTGATAATGACACTGGCCAACACACTTTTTGGTGCCTCACATGTGAGCCCTATTTCTGGATCTTATTATTGCTAATTATTATTATTATTATTATTACGTTGATAGGGGTAGTGGTAGTGATAATGACACTGGCCCACAGGCATTTCGGTGCCTTACATGTGAGCCCTGTTTCTGGATCTTATTATTACTATTTATTATTAATTATTACTGCTATTATTATTATGTTGATAGGGGTTGTGGTGGTGATAATTACACTAGCCCACAGACATTTCGGTGCCTCACACGTGAGCCGTGTTTTAGGGTCTTATTTATTATTATTATTATTATTAATAATAATAATAATAATTACTGCCGGTCTGAGTCCCTCTACGGAGGTAGAGAAGATCGGGATACAAAAGTTTTAAATAAATAATAAATATATACTGTTGTTATTACTACATTGGGAGTGATAATTACACTGGCCCACATACATTTCGGTGCCTCACACGTGAGCCCTGTTTCTGGGTCTATTTGCGCTGCTGATTCCAAAAATTGCCCCCCTTTCCCCTCCCCCCCCCCCATCAGCTTTAGTTTTTTTGATACAGAACCTATGCCATCTACCGCCCTTCATCTGCTGGGCCATAAGAAATCTCAAAAACTAGACCTGATGAGATCTATTCAATTACATTTTCGGAATCAGCGCCTTAAAGAAGGAACAAGCCTCAAAACAAACAAACAAAATGTTTTGGTTGACCTGTGTTACTACCCTGTGTAGCCCCTAGAATAATAATAATAATAATAATAATAATAATAATAATAATAATAATAATTATTATTATTATTATTATTATTATTATTATTATTATTATTATTATTTGTGGAGCAGAACAGACAACTCCGCATCTGTATGCTTGTCCACTGTGCCCTGCCTTATGTACAGAGGAGGAATTGTTGGAGGCTACAGACAATGCTGTCGCCCGTTTTTGGTCAAAGGATATTTAGCCGCCTGTGCGCCTTCTATTTTTATCAGTTTTATACTAATTTATGCAATTCTTTTGATACGAAATAAATAAATAAACCCATGGGCCAACTTCGGCCCTCCAGGTTGTTGGGTTTCATCCCTAGGTTTGGCCACGTGGTCATCCTCCATTGTTGCTCTCTCTGCCTTTTCTTCCTTCTAGTGAGGACGCATTTTGCCTCCCTCCAGGCAAAATGTAACTGCGTGGATATGCCGATTTTTTAACCTTTTTTACTTCTTCAAAGATGAGATTTAGTAAGGCCCTTTTCGTTTTCATAGAATCATAGAGTTGTAAGAGACCTCATGGGCCATCCATTCCAACCCCATTCTGCCAAGAAGCAGGAAAATTGCATTCAAAGCACCCCCGACAGATGGCCATCCAGCCTCTGTTTTAAAACTTCCAAAGAAGAAACTTCTACCACACTCCGGGGCAGAGAGTTCCACTGCTGAACAGCTCTCACAGTCAGGAAGTTCTTCCTAATGTTCAGATGGAATCTCCTTTGTTATAGTTTGAAGCCATTGTTCCACGTCCTAGTCTCCAGGGCAGCAGAAAACAATATATGTGACTTCCTCTCACATATTTATACATGGCTATCATGTCTCTTCTCAGCCTTCTCTTCTGAAGGCTAAACATGCCCAGCTCTTTAAGCCACTCCTCATAGGGCTTGTTCTCCAGACCCTTGATGATTTAGTCGCCCTCCTTTGGACACATTCCAGCTTGTCAATATCTCTCTTCAATTGTGGTGCCCAGAATTGGACACAATATTCCAGGTGTGGAATATTGTGCCCAATTTCCTTCTCTTTTTCCTTCTCTTCCTTCCTTCTCTTCTTTCCTTCTCTTCTTTCCCCCTCCTTCCTTCCTTCTCTTCCTTCCCCTTCCTTCCTTCTCTTCCTTTTGAAAGTTTTGTTAGAGTTCTGAAATTTTCACCACCAGAACTTTAGTTTTATAAGTACTTTAGAACCATTTAGAACCATGGATTGACCAGGCCTACTATCTATATTCCTATCCACAGCCATATTATATATCCTTATCCATAGCTTTAGCGGTTGAGGGGAGAAAGGAAGGGGCCTGAGGCTGATCAGAATTGTGGGAGTTGAAGTACAAAACACCTGGAGAAAAGGCCCAATTTGACCCATCTAGAATTATCAAACCCTCGAGTTGGAAGAGTTCAGTGCAACCCCCTTCTGCCAAGGCAGGAAAAGCACACAATCAAAGCGCCCCTGACAGATGGCCATCAGGCACCTCCTGGTTAGAGGCAACACAGCCCTGACTATCCTCGTGTTTAGGAATGATTAGTATTGCTCTTTGAAAGGGGGGGGAGTGGCGGGGGGGGGGGGGGGGGGCTCTTTTGGCTCTGAGAGGATTGCTTGCTTTTCCAAATCCTCCTTCCTCTGCTGCTGCTTCTTCTGCTGCTGAGCGATTGTCTTTCCTGATCCTGGGTCTTAAGAGCCAATAAACCGATTGCCAACGAAAGTATGAGCCTGATATATCCTTAACTACATAATTAAGGACAAAAGTCCCTAGTTAAGCCCGGCTTAGAGAGGGGGGAGAGGGGCCTAATCGCTGGCCAAAGAAGCAGAGAAGGAGAAGAAGGAGAAAAGGCGCCTTTGGAGAGAAGGAAGAAAGGGAACAGCTGACAGAAAACTGGGCAAACTTGGGCCCTCTCTCCAAGTGTTTTGGACTTCAACTCCCACCATTCCTGGCCTCAGCCCCCTTCCTTTCCCCCCTCAGCCGCTTAAGCGGGGATATAGATATGGATATGGATATATATGGGTGTGGATAGGAATATAGATAGTAGGCCTGGTCAATCTATGGTTCTAAATGGTTCTAAAGTACTTACAAAACTAAAGTTCTGGTGGTGAAAATTTCAGAACTCTAACAAAACTTTCAAAATTTAACTATTATTTCATTATTGGTGATTTTTATGATAGAACCAATTAGGAACTACCATTCATAATGAAATTTTGGGAGCTTTGTTAGAGTTCTGAAATTTTCACCACCAGAACTTTAGTTTTGTAAGCACTTTAGAACCATTTAGAACCATGCATTGAACAGTCCTAATAGATAGATATTTAGGAGATAGAAATAAGGATATGGATATATATGGATATATGGTTAAGGATATGGGTGGATATGGATATAGATAAAAGTGGACATGGATATGGATATAGATAGATGTGAGTATGGATATGGATACGGGTGGATACAGACATGGATATGGATAGATAGGGATATGGTTATGGATATAGATATGGGTGTATATGGATATAGATAAGGATATAGACATATAGATAGATAGAATCATAGAGTCACAGAGTTGGAAGAGACCTCATGGGCTATCCAGTCCAACCCCCTGGCCTGACCACAATTAGTTTGTTTAGTTTATTTACCGTTCCTGTCGGGACTGCGGAGGTAGGCGGCACCGGGTCCAGAAGGCAAGGCAAGGCTGGCTTTGAGGGCCGGAGGAGGGTCTTCACGGGTTTGGGGTGGGAACACTTGCTGGAGAAAGAAAGAGAAAAGTAAAGGACCCTTAGGAAAAGAAAGAAATGGAGAAAGTCAGGCCCAGGGGCTTCTCTCTCTCTCTCTCTCTCTCTCTGTGCCTCCAAAGCTCCTGGGAGACCCCCCCCCCCAGGAAGGAGAACGCCATTCACCCGGGGTCCCCCCTCCCAACTCAAAAGTAGGCTTTTCAAGGCCTCAACTCTCCAAGCTTCGTTGGAAGGCAACCTGCGTCCAAGGAAGCTCTCCTAGAGGAGGAGCCGCCCTTCCCTTCCAGTCCCAGAAACATAAACAAACCAAACACACCAAAAGCTCGGGCCCACCCTTAAACTCAAGGAACGGGAGGGTTTTGAGTCTACAGCCCCTCCCTGCAGAAATGTAGTTTTCTTTGGGATGGGGTGGGGGTGTTTCCGTGTTAGGAGCGACTTGAGAAACTGCAAGTCGCTTCTGGTGTGAGATAATTGGCCGTCTGCAAGGACGTTGCCCAGGGGACACCCGGATGTGCTACCATCCTGTGGGAGGCTTCTCTGTCAGTAGTCCTACCTGCACAAGGGTTTAAACCAGCGTTTCTCAACCTGGGGGTCGGGACCCCTGGAGGAGACACGAGGGAGTGTCAGAGGGGTCACCAAAGACCACCAGGAAACACAGAATTTTCTGTCGGTGATGGGAGTTCTGTGTGAGAAGTTTGGCCCAATTTTATCCTTGGTGGGGTCCAAAATGCTCTTTGATTGTAGGTGAACTATAAATCCCAGCAACTACAACTCCCAAATGTCAAGGTCTGTTTTCCCCACTGTTCACATTTGGGCATATTGAGTATTTCTGCCGAGTTTGGTCCAGATCCATCATTGTTTGAGTCCACAGTGCTCTCTGGATATAGGTGAACTACAACTCCCAAACTCAAGGTCAATGCCCACCAAACCCTTCTAGTGTTTTCTATTGGTCATGGGAGTTCTGTGTGCCAAGTTTGGTTCAATTCCATCGTTGGTGGAGTTGAGAATGCTCCTTGATTGTAGGTGAACTATAAATCCCAGCAACGACAACTCCCAAATGACAAAACCAGTCTCCCCCAACCCCACCAGAATTCAAATTTGGGCATATTTGTGCTAAATTTGGTCCAGTGAATGAGAATACATCCTGCATATCAGATATTTATACAATGATTCATAACAGTAGCAAAATTACAGTTATGAAGTAACAAGGAGAATAATGTTATGGTTGGGGGTGACCACAACATGAAGAACTGGATTAAGAGGTTCTGGCATTAGGAAGGTTAAGCCATTGTGACACAGGGACTCCTAGAAATGTAGTACTGAAAGGGAATTCAGCACCAAGGTCAGTGTGTTGAGCTCCCCCACTTTTAGGGATTTTGGGGGCTGAGCTGGGCAAATGCATGCCTTGGAGCAGAGAGGAAGGTGTAAGGGCAGTTGGAAGAGGTATACCATCTTGGCTTTCATATTTTGAGTGTAATTTTTAAGAGCTTGAAAGCTTGATGTGTTGTAAATGTTTATGATGTATCCTGTTTGGTTATTTAAGTTGTTTGGGTTTTTTATTTTTATTTTTTTAATTTATTTTTTGGGGTTGTTGTAGATTTTTTCGGGCTATATGGCCATGTTCCAGAGGCATTTTCTCCTGACGTTTTGCCTGCATATACGGCAAGCATCCTCACAGGTAGTGAGGTGTATTGGAACTAGGAAAATGGGTTTATATATCTGTGGAATGACCAGGGTGGGGCAAAGAACTCTTGTCTGTTGGAGCTAGGTGTGAATGTTTCAACTGACCACCTTGATTAGCATTTGATGGCCTGGCAGTGCCTGGGGCAATCTTTTGTTGAGAGGTGATTAGGTGTGCCTGATTGTTTCCCCTCTGTTGTTTTTTTTTTTGTTTTGTTTTTTTTATTTTTATTTTTTGTAAATAGAGTCTGTTTTTACCCATTGGTCTGATCCATCATTTGTTGCTCTGACATGGCACTGAACGTTTACTATTGTGATTATTTGGTTGGAAACTGCCCTGAGTTCCCCTCGGGGAGAAAATAACTATTCGTAGTAGTAGTAGTAGTAGTAGTAGTAGTATTAAGGGGGAAGGTGAGGGGCTGTGCTGGAGGTAAAGCGTGACCTAGGGTCATTAAGAGGGGGTGTCCCACTTATTGCCTCCTTTGCTGGGCCCTACAAAACCCTCAGCCACTGAAGGAATGAAGCAGGAGCTCCTCATCCCTCTCTGGCCCCATCCCTCCTCCTTCTCCCCTCTTCCTCAGGCCCTTGGGAGGAGGCTTCCCCCAGGATAATCCTCAGTTCATGGCTCAGCTCAGGGAGCATCTGCTGTGCTCTCTCCCAGCACTGGAGGCTTGAAGGAACCTCAGGATGACATGTCAGTGGGCCTCCCCTTCCAAAGCTTGGGATCCAACTTGAACAAGCATGGGCCAACTTGAGCTCTCCCTCCAGGTGTTTTGGACTCCAACTCCCACTATTCCTAACAGTCTCAGGCCCTTTGGGGAAAGGAAAGGGGTCTGAGGCTTTTAGGAATGGTGGGAGTTGAAGCCCAACCAAGTTGGCCCAGGCCTGGCCTAGAAAATTCCCTTCCAAAAGCTGAGAGGATGGGCCTCTTTTGCTCTCAGCCTGGAGGAAAAAAAGGAGGATATTCACACCCTAAATTTAGAAATTCTACTTCAGGGTCTGAATATAAGACAATGTTAGTGAAGATGTCTCTCCTAGTCATCTTCATGGAATCTTTAAAGCCCATTTACACTCTAAAAAAGTTTGCAGAGAGCAAATCCCAGGCTTCACCAGCCCTGAAATGTCATAACAAATGCGTTATTTTTTTTGCATCTCCCTTCCCTTGACTCATCAAGGATGGATTCGATAGGAATGAGCATGTTTCCCTGAAAATAAGACACTGTCTTATATTTTTTTTCCCTCCAGAAGACATATTATGGCTTATTTTCAGGGGATGTCTTGGTTTTTAAAAAAATTAAGTATAGTACAACAGTCCGCATTTATAGGATTTTTTTTCCATGTCAGGAGTGACTTGAGAAACTGCAAGTCGCTTCTGGTGTGAGAGAATTGGCCGTCTGCAAAGGGGATGCCCGGATGTTTTGCCATCCTTGTGGGAAGCTTGTCTCATGCCCCCGCATAGGGAGCTAGAGCTGACAGAGGGAGCTCATCCACGCTCTCCCCAGATTCCAACCTGTGTCCTGTCAATCTTTGGTCCTGCTGGCAAAAGGGCCAGCAGGATTAATTGATTAATTGATTAATTGATTAATTGATTAATTGATTAATTGATTAATTGATCAATTGTGCATTTATGGGATGATCTCTGGGCTCAGCAGCCAACTGCTTGCTGAAGCTTTCCCCCCTCTCTCCTGGTGTTTGTTTGGGGTGAGAGAGACCCACAGACTGTTGCTGGTCAGTACTGGGTAGCAGAAGCTTTGCTGGTGTTTGTGGGGGGTGAGAGAGACCCACAGAGTGTTGCTGGTTGGTGCTGGGAGAGAGAGACTCACAGTACTGAGTAAATGGGCAGCCACAGCTTTACTTCTTCCCCCTGAGGACACACAATACCTAAAGCAGAGCGTTCTGTCCCGCTCCTCTCTTCACTAGGGAGACTTTGAATTTGACTTTCTATGTCTCTCTCTATGCCAGTGGTTCTCAACCTGTGGGTCCCCAGGTGTTTTGGCCTACAACTCTCAGAAATCCCAGCCAGTTTACCAGCTGTTGGGATTTCTGGGAGCTTGCAACAGGCAGAAAACTACAGGGACCTGACCTGGGGTGAGGGGTGGGGAGCCGACCTTGTACACTGCATATCACTATGTCTTATTTTCGGGGTTTAACAAACGGGGCAAACCAAGAATGGGCAACTTGGAAGTCCCTGAACAGACTTAGAAGCTGAGTGGGTAGATCGAAAGACAACCTGGCGAAATGGTACTACCTAAAAGAATCCCACACCTTATGTGACTGTGAAGCAGAACAGACAACTCCGCATCCGTATGCTTGTCCACTATGCCCTGCCTCATGCACAGAGGAAGAATTGTTGGAGGCTACAGACAATGCCATTGCTGTTGCCCGTTTTGGGTCACAAGATATTTAACCACCTGCACTCCTTCTATTTTTATCGGTTTTATACTAATTTATGCAATGCTTTTGATACGAATTAATTTTTTTTTTCGAGGTATAGCTTATATTGCACAAATGCTTACAAGTCCTGCTATGGCTTATTTTATGGGTATGTCTTATTTTCAGGGAAACTAGATTTGACATCACAAGGCCGGTCAGAACAGTGAAGTGAGAAAGGTTTATCTTGGGAAGACCAACCTGTCGAGTGTGAGATAATCCCACCCTTGACCCACCTCCCCCCCCCCCGCATCCGCACTTCCTCGACCCACCTCCCCCCCCCCGTATCCGCGGTGCCCGCACCTCGTAGCCTCCGCGACTCTGCCTCCCTTCTTCGACGACGGCGATGGCCTTCCCGTCGGGCTCTGCAGAAGCAGCAGCGGCGCCCTTTTCCTCGGGGGGCTGGGCTGGCGTGGGGGTGGGCTCCCTCTCCTCCCTCCGCTCTTCCTCCGGGGCCTCTCCGTCCTGCTCCCGCTCCTCGCCTTCCTCCTCTTCCTCGGCGAAGCGATGCCCTTCCACGTCCACGTCGGGCTCCTCTTCATCCTCTTCCTCCTCCTCCTCCTCCGGGTCCAGGGCCTCGTTGCCCGGCGAGAGGGAGCGATAGCTGGCGCTGCCTTCCTCGCTGAGGAAGTCAGGCGAGAGGTATCCCCGCGGGGGCGGCCCTCCTCCCCCGTTGTGTCCTCCTCCTCCTCCTCCTCCGTAGGCCTCCCGGGCGCTCCCGTAGAGCTTGGCGATGCTCTCGGCGTCCTTCACGACGGGGCGGAAGGCGGAGAGGTAGCTCCCTTTGCGCGGGAGTGGAAGGGGCAGGAGCAGGGCCTCCTCGACGGAGACGGTGGCCCCGCGTTCCTCGCTCTCGGCGGCGGCGTTGGCGCTGGGGCAGCGCTCTCCTTCGGGCGCCGAGGCCTCGTGCGGGGTGCCTCCTCCCCCTCCTCTTCCTTCTCCTCCTGAGGGGGGATCCGCTCCCATATGAGGCGGCAATTGCCCTCCCCTCAACCCCAAAGGCTCCGCCGCTGCCGCCGCCGCCGCCGCCGCCGCCGCCACCACAACAGCAGTAGCAGCGGCGGCCTTGGCTTGGCTCTGTTGCTGCGGGTAGGGCGGCACCGGGAGGCTCCCCGAAGCGGGCCAGAACATCGGGAAGGGCGGGTAGACCCCTCCTCCTCCGCCTCCCCCGTTGTTACTCTCTTTGGGGGGCTGCAGGGGCGGCTGCTGCTGCTGCGGAGGCCCCCAAAACATCCCCGGAGGCAGCGCTTTGCCGGGCTCCGCTCCGTTTCCCCCTCCGTTCCCTCCCAAGGCGTCGTCTTGCTTCTTGGGGCAAAGTCCGAAGGCGGGGAAGGCGTAAGGGGGCGGGAAGAGCGGCGGGGGCAGCTTCTGGAGCAGGCCGAAGCCTTTGCTGGGCACCGGGATGACGGGGTAGCTGCGCACCGCGCTGGGCGAGGGGCCGGCTCCGTGCGGGGCGGACAAGGCCAAGGCGGGCTGCTCGGGGCCGCAGCGGAGGGCCTTACTGACCGGAGGGAGGTCGGAGGAAGAGGCGGAGGAGGAAGAGGAGGAGGACGCGGGGCTGCCCTTGGAGAGGGAGGAGGAGCCCCCGCCGCCGCCGTGCAGGGAGAAGGTGCGCTTGCGCGTCCCGCCGTTGAACATGGCCTTGACGTCCTCCCAGGCGTGGCTGAGCTCGTCGTCGGCGCCCTTGTCGCTGAGCCGCAGGTGCCTCCGCCAGGAGTTGAAGTTGGCCGCGTCGGGCTGCGTGTACTTGGCGTCGGGGAGGCGGTGCGAGTGGAAGATGAACTTGTTGGGGCTGAAGTAGAGGCTGCAGTAGCCGCACTTGATGCACTTGGCGCGGGAGCTGTTGTAGCGGGCCGGGATGAAGCTGCCCCGCGAGCCCCAGGCGCACTCGTGGGCCACGTCGAAGGCGAAGTTCTCCGGCAGCTTGGGCGGGCGGTGCTCGCCCAGGAAGGACTTGCAGAGCCGCTCGGCCTCGCGCTTGGTGATCATGCCGCACCGCCGCGAGGAGATGGGCATGGCCCCCGCCCGCCGAAGGATCTCCAGCTGCACCGGGGTGCACTGCACGCACGTGATGCCCAGCGCCACGCGACGGTTGTGGATCTCATTGTAGCTGTAGCTCTTGAGCAGCGTGTTGGAGATCTGCGCCAGGCAGAGGCGCTCCTGCCCGTCGATCACCAGCGACACGATGGGCACCCCGTACAGGGACGTCTCCCCCACCTGGTTGGGCTTCAAGGGCGAGGAAGAAGAGGAAGAGGAAGAAGAAGAAGCAGAGTAGGGCTGGACCAGCTCCGGCTTCGAGTGCGGCGACGAAGAAGACGAGGAGGAAGAGGAAGAGGAGGAGGAGCCACAGTCCCGCCCCGGGGCAGCTCCCAGCTGAGTGGAGACGGCGGCGGATCCTCCGGACAGCGGCTCCATCGACGGCGAAGCTCCTGCGCTGAGAAGAAAGGAAAGGAGTGAACCAGGAGGGCGAAAAGGAGTGGCCCCGATAAAGGCGCTGCACCGGAGCGGGACTGGGGCTCCTCCTCGTGTGGCCCCGAGTCAGGAGGCACGCTTCCTCCTCCTCTCCCCAAATACCCACTCTTCCCCCAAAAGCCCCTGTTTAAGAGGAAAGACATAGAGATGGGAAGGAAGGGAAACACAGCCCTGGCATCCGGGGAAAGGCATTTGGGGAGAGAAAGGGGAGGGAAACAATCAACCTCCCTCACATCTATTTGGAGAAGGCAGTGGAAAGAGAGTCCGAGGAAAAGGAAAAGGAGTTGAGGGAGGAAAGAGAAAGGAAAGGGAGGAAAGACGCCACTTTGGAGAAGAGAAAGGGAAAGGGAAGTGGGGGGCGGAGGAAGGGAAGGGAAGGAGGAAGGAAGGAAGGGAAGGGAATGTAAACAAATCAACCCTCCTGACGTCTGTTTGGAGAAGGCAATGGAAAGAGAATCCGACCGAGGAGAAAGAAAAGGAGATGAGGGAGGAAAGAGAAAAGGAAAGAAAGGAAAGAAAACACCAGAAGAGAAGGAGAAAGGGAAAGGGAAGTGTGGGAGGGAGGAAGGGAAGGAAGGAACGAAGGAAGTAAGGGAAGGGAAGAGAAACAACCAACCCTCCTGATATCTGTTTGGAGAAAGCATTTGGAAAGAGTCCGAGGAGAAGGAAAAGGAGATGAGGGAGGAAAGAGAAAAGGAAAGGGAGGAAAAACACTTTGAAGAAGAGAAGGAGAAAGGGAGGGAGGAAAGACGCCACTTTGGAGAAGGCGTTTAGAAGGAGAAAGGGAAGTGGGGGAGGAATGAAAGGAAGGGAAGGAAGGAACGAAAGAAGGAAGTAAGGGAAGAGAAGAGAAACAACCAACCCTCCTGACATTGGAGAAAGCATTGGGAAAGAGAGTCCGACGAGAAGGAAAGGATTTTGAGGGAAGAAAGAGAGAGGAAAGAGAAAAGGAAAGGGAGGAAGGAAATTCACCACTTTGGAGAAGGCATTTAAAAAGAGAAGGGAAGTGAGGAGGGAGGAAGGGAAGAAAGGAAGGGAAGAGAAACAACCAACCCTTTTGACATCTCTTTGGAGAAGGCATTGGGAAAGAGAGCCCGAGGAGATGGAAAAGAAGTTATGGGAGGAAAGAGGGAGGAAAGAGAAAAGGAAAGGGAGGAAGGAAAGTCATCACTTTGGAGTAGACGGTTGGGAAGTGAAGGAGAAAGGGAAAGGTGGGAGGAAAGACACCACTTTGGAGAAGGCATTTACAGACAAGGGAAGAGAGGGAAGGAAGGAAGGAAGGAAGGAAGGAAGGAAGGAAGGAAGGAAGGAAGGAAGGAAGGAAGGAAGGGAAGGGAAAGGAAACAATCTAACTCCCTGACATCTGTTTGGAGAGCGTGTTTAGAAAGCGAGTCCGAGGAGAAGGAAAAGGAGTTGAGGGAGGAAAGAGGAAAGGAAAGGAAAGAAGAAAAGACACCAGTTTGGAGAAGGCATTTGGAAAGGGAAGGAGAAAAGGGAAGGAAGGAAGGAAAGGAAAGGAAAGGAAAGGTAGGACACCACTTTGGAGAAGGCATTTAGAAAGACAAAGGAAGGGAGGGAAGGGAAGAGAAGAGAAACAATCCCACCTCTGACATCTGTTTGGAGAACGCATTTAGAGTCTGAGGAGAAGGAAAAGGAAAGGGAATTGGGGGAGGAAAGCTGGAAAAGGGGATAAGAAAAGAAAAGGGAGGGAGGAAAGACATCTCTTTGGAGAAGATATTTGGGAAAAGAAGGAGAAAAGGCAAGGGAGGAAGGAACGAAGGAACGAAGGAAAGAAAGGAAGAAAGAAGGAAGGAAGGAAGGAAAGGAAGAGAAACAATCCAACCCTCGGACATCTATTTGGAGAACGGATTTGGAAAGCGAGTCTGAGGAAAAGGAAAGGGAAAGTCGCGGGAGGTAGGAAGAGTGACAAGGAAACGAAAGCAAACATCTTCCTGACATTCGGGGGAAAAGTCATTTCGAAAGAGAAGGGAAGGGGAAGGAGGGAGGGAAAGGGAAGAGAATCAACCTCCCGGACATCTGTTTATAGAAAGCATTTGGGAAGCGAGTCCGAGGAGAAGGAAGTGAGATAACAGAGGGATGGCAGAACGAAGAACGGAAAGGAAAGGGAGGGAGGAAAGACAGATGGCATTTGGAAAGAGAATCCGAGGGAATGGAAAGAGGAAGGAAGAGGGGAAGGGAATAGGGAAGGATGGAAAGCGAAAGAACATCCTGGCATCCAGGAAAAAAGACATTTGGAAAGAAAGGAAAGGAAAAAAGGAATGAAAAGTAGGGGAAAAGAAAGCCTCCTGACATCTGTTTGGAGGAGTCATTTGGAAAGCGAGTCCAAATGAAAAGGAGAGGAAAGAAGGAGGGAGAAAAGGAAATCGAAACCCTGTCATCTTGTAGAGGAGACTTTGGTTAAGAGCCCGGAGAGCAGGAAAGGGAACGACGGGAGGAAGAGGAAAAGGAAGGGAAGGGAAAGGAAAGGGAAACACCTTCCTGACATCTAGAAAAGGACGCTTGGAAAATAGGAAAGGGAAGGAAGGAGGGAGGAAAGAAGGAAAGAGAAAGGAGCAACTCCGCTGACATAGGTTTGAAGAAGAGATTTGGAAAGAGTCCGAAAAGGAGGAGGAGGAGGAAAGGGAACGATGGAGGAAGGAAAGAAAGAAAAAGAGAGAGAGAGAGAGCGGGAAGAGAAGGAAGGAGACCCTTGCCTTCGTGGGTCCAAATGCGAGAGTGGGCTTCTTGAGGAGGAAGAGCAAGAAGGGCTCCTTTGCCAGCCTCTCCGGGAGGGAAGGAGGGAAAGGGAAGGGGAAGGAGGATGGCCGGCCTCCCTGCTCGGCGTTAGTTACACCTCGGAGGAGCCCCACCGCTCGCCCTCGGAGCTTAAGGGAGAAAGAGTGAGAGAGAGAGAGAAGGGGGGGGGGTAATGTAAATACACTCCCGGCCTCGCTGAGCCTGGACTAATCCTGCCCCGAAATGGCGCCAGGTGTATTTAAAGCCCCCGAATCATACAAGACATTCAATTAACTCACTCGGGGTCAAGCCTGAAAGGTGGCCGGAGTCCAGGAGGAGGAGGAGACGAAGAAGAGGAGAGGAGATGGAACGGAAAAGAAGACGAAGAGGAAACGACGGAGAAGAGGAGGAGACGAAGAAGAAAAGAAGAAGACGGAGGAGAGAAGGAGAAAAAGATGAAGAGGAGGAGGAGAAACGGAGAAGAAGACGGAGGAAAGAAGGAGAAGAAGAGGAACCGAAGAAGATGGAGGAGAGAAGGAGAGGAAGACGAAGAGGAGAAACGGAGAAGAAGACGGAGAAGAAAATGAGAAGAAGACGAAGAGGAGGAGGAGAAATTGAGAAGAAGATGGAGGAGAGAAGGAGAAGAAGACGAAGAGGAGGAGGAGGAGAAATGGAGAAGAAGACGAAGGAGAAGAAAACGAAGAGGAGGAGAAACGGAGAAGAAGACGGAGGAGAGAAGGAGAAGAAGAGGAAACGGAGAAGAGGAGAAGACGAAGAGGAGGAGGAGGAAAAGAAAAAGAAGAAGAGGAGGAGGCAAAGAATGAGAGAAGGAAGAGGAGAAGAATGAGGAGGAAAAGAAAACAAAGACGATGAGGAAAGGAGAAGAAGGCGAAGAGGAGGAGGAGGAAGACAAGGCGAAGAAGAAGAGGAAAGCGGGGCGCATGGAGTCCGAGAGTCTTGCCTCTCTCGTTCTCCTCTTCCTCCTCTTTTCTGGAGAGAGAGAGAGGCTTAAAGCGGATTAGGAGCGGAGGCCGAGGGGCTCTCCTTTAACCGCCGAGGGAGCAGCTGAAGCAAACAGGATCGCCCCGGATTAACTAAGAGGCTTTCCGCGTTAATTACACGAAATCGTCCGAAGGAAGGCTGGGTGTCCTTCGCCAATGGGAAAGGCAGGCCCCCCTCCTCCCTCTCTCCCTCTCCCCCTCTCTCTCTCTTAGGGATCCCAGGCGGGTCGGGGAGCAACACACGTCGGGGTCGGGACCAAGAACACAGAGGGCGAGAAAATAAAATCAAGACAGAGAAAGAGATACAGATAGATACACCTCAATTTTGTTTCTGGCTCTGTATATACATAGAAGATAGATAGGTAGGTGGATGGATGGATAGGTGTAGATAAATATATAGGTAGGTAGGTAGATGGATGGATACAGGTAGATAGATAGATAGATAGATAGATAGATAGATAGATAGATAGATAGATAGATAGATAGATAGATAGATAGATAGATAGAGGGTTGTTGCAGGTTTTTTTGCTATATGGCCATGTTCTAGAAGCATTCTCTCCTGACGTTTCGCCTGCATCCATGCCAGGCATCCTCAGAGGTTGTGAGGTTGTGATAGATAGGTTGATAGATAGGTAGGTAGATGGATGGACGGATAGATAGGTAAGTAGATAGATAGATAAATAGGTAGATAGGTAGATAAATGGATGGATGGATGGAAAGGTGGGTAGGTAGGTAGATAAATAGACAGACAGACAGACAGACAGACAGATAGATAAGTAGTTAGGTAAATAGGTAGGTAGATGGATGGATAGGTAGATAAATAGGTAGGTAGATGGATAGATAGGTAGGTAGATAGACAGAGAGACAGACAGACAGACAGGCAGATAGATAGATAGGTTGATAAATAGATAGGTAGGTAGGTAGATGGATAGATAGATAGGTAGGTAGGTAGGTAGATAAATACGTAGGTAGGTAGATGGATGGATAGGTAGGTAGGTAGGTAGGTAGGTAGATGGATGGACGGACGGACGGATAGGTAGATAAATAGGTAGGTAGGTAAATGGATGGATAGGTAGGTAGGTAGACAGACAGACAGATAGATAGATGGATGGATGGATAGGTAGATAAATAGATAGGTAGGTAGGTAGGTAGGTAGGTAGGTAGATAAATAAATAGATAGATAGATAGATAGATAGATAGATAGATAGATAGATAGATAAGTAGTTAGGCAGATAGATGGATGGATAGGTAGATAAATAGATAGGTAGGTGGATGGATGGATGAATGGATGGATAGATAGATAGATAGATAGATAGATAGATAGATAGATAGATAGATAGATAGATAGATAGAGTGGATAGATAGGGTTCATAGATAGTAGATAGATAGATAGATAGATAGATAGATAGATAGATAGATGAGGTTGAGTAACTTTGATATTGCATCTCTGTGGAGGACATAAATTCTGTGTGCCCAACGGGACGCTGGGGCTGCCTTACCCCCCTTCCTTTTCGCTTCAGCGCGGGGGGGGGGGGGGGGGAGGAAAGAGCCCGAGGCTGTTAGGAATGCTGGGAATTGAAGTCCAAAACTCCTGGAGGGCCGAAGTTTCCATGTTTATATGTTGGCATGTCCCCAAAAGGCACCCATCGCCAACGCGCGTCCAAATAGAACTCCTTCCCCCAAAAAACGAGACTCTAAAAAAAAGAAAGGGAAGCTTTCTCTCGTTCCTTCTCCCCCCCCCCCCCCTCCTTCTTCGAAGGAAAACAAACAAATAGGCTGAATCGGAACAACAACAATAACAACAACAACAACAACAGGGCGCCCCAAAGCGAGAGACGGAGGGCCAAAAGGAAGGGCGAAGTCCTGGAAGTTGGCAGAAGGAAAGAAGCGGAGGATGGAAAGAAGGAGAGAAGGGAAGGGGAGAAGGGAAGGGGAGAAGGGGGTCTGGCGCTGCTTACCGGGCGGAGAAGGAGGTCCTGGCAGGGCCCCCCCGGCCCCCTTGGCTCTCTCACCGGGGCGCAGCGAGAGGCAGCTGCATGGCAGCCCGGAAAAGGAAGAAGGAAGAGGAGAAGGAGAAGGAGGAGAAGAAGAAGAGGGAGGGAAAGAGGCGGAGGGAAGGAGGGAGGGAAGGAAGGAAGGAGGGAGGGAGGGAGGAGGGAAGGGCGGGGGATGTCGCAGAAGCAGCCCCTCCTCCCTCGGACCCGCCGCCGGCTGTCAATCACCCACCGCTGTCAATCACCTCCTTTTTTCAAAAAAAGGGGGGAGTTTGGGGTAAAGAAAGTGGGGGAAAAGGTAAGGTCGCAACCCCATCTTCCTTCCGGTCTCAATTCAGGGGTGGGGGGCTTTGCTATCTCCACTTTTTTCAATGCCCCACCCCCCCAAGCCCTTCAAAGGGGGCAAAGTGAGACCTTCCTTGGTTTGGAAGGAAAAGAAAGGGAGAGAATGGAGAACTGTTGTATTTCGCAGTGTTTGTATAGATGCTCGTTCAATGTTGTTTCTGTTGGTATTAATGTATAATACGTTGATTAATTGGGTTGTTGTGTGTCTTCCGGGCTATATAGCCATATTGCAGAAGCATTCTCTCCTGACGTTTCGCCTCCATGTATGGCAGGCATCCTCAGAGGTTGTGATTGATTGATTGATTGATTGATTGATTGGGAGGGTTTGGGTTTTTTTTTTTTAAAGAGGGGGGTGATCCAGTGGCGCTCTCTGGAAGCCCCTTTTGGATTGGGATTTGCAGTTTAACGTGTTTGTTATCATTATGCTTTTGTTGCGGCTTCGTTTCGGGTTAGTTTCCCTCTCCTGCGAATCCTCGATCTTGCCCAAATCAATGGGATTGACGCCAGTGTGGCAGGAGTTCATTCATCTCTCGTTGGGAGCCCTCCAATGCGCTTCAACCGTTCCTCCAAATTAGAATCAATAAAACCGAGTTTGAGGTATTGAAAGGAGGAGAGAGAGGGAGGGAGGGAGAAAGGCTGGGTCCACATTGCCATATAATGCGATTCAAACCGTATTATATGAAGGAGAGCCACATGTTTTTATAGAGTGGGACACTTTAAATAATCCTGGGATCTTTGGGCCCCTTTGAGTGTGCTTTTATAAGAGAGGAAAGCTCTCTTTTCTCCTTTCAATAATAATAATAATAATGATGATGATGATGATGTATTGTTATTACACAATAATAAATATAAATATTTAATAATATTTAATTATTATTATTATCACCATCATTATTGATAGCATGATTTGGTGAATAATAATAATAATAATAATAATAATAATAATAAATATTATATATGGGCTGTTGTAGGTTTTTTCGGGCTATATGGCCTCACTACCTCTGAGGATGCTTGCCATAGATACAGAAGAAAGGTCAGGAGAGAATGCCTCTAAGAACATGGCCAAAAAACCCAAAAGAACCTACACCAACCCAGTGATTCCAGCCATTAAAGCCTTCGACAATTATATATATATATACACACACACACACACACACACATACATACACACACACATATATTTGGTGGAGAAATAATAATAATAATAATATGTTATTATTAAACGGAATATTAATTTTATATATATACAAATACACACATATATTAGGTTATGAATAGCATGGTTTGGTGAAGAAATTATAATAATATTATATTATTAAATAGAATAATAATATTATATATATATTATATTTTATGAATATCGTGATTTGGTGAAGAAATTATAATAATATTATATTAAACAGAATAATATTATATATATATTATATTTTATGAATATCGTGATTTGGTGAGGAAATTATTATTATATTACATTATTACATAGAATAATAATAATATTAAATATATTACATATTCTATTAATAGTGTTATTTTATGAAGAAATTAGTATTGTATTATTAAACAATATAATAATAAATGTTTAATATCTATTTTATGAACAGAGTGATTTGGTGAGGAAATCGTTATTGAGGATATTATTATTTAAGCTGATTATTATTCCTTCACCAAATCACGCTATTAAATATTATGATTTAATAAAAATTACATCATTATTTATTCTATTATTATGCAGTAACCGTAAATAAGAATAATTATTGAATAATGTATTAATTATTTCATAATATGGGACATTGTTAGTGATAATACTATTAATTATTATTGCAATTAACGAGCTGGGAAAGAGCTCCATCCCAAACCTCCCTTTGATCAGGAAAGGACAGCCCTCAGCTTCCTTCATTGGATGGCATTTGATTTATAAGGGAGCAGAAAAGGCCTTACTTTTGGGGGGGGGGGGGAGGGTCCGTTCCGAACCGGTGCTTTCCTCTGAATTCCGGAATAAATGCGCGTTATATAAGCCTGACGAAGACAAGCCCTTCCTTACATTGTGTGCTTTTCCTGTGTGGCAGGGGGTTGGACTAGATGGCCCGTGTGGTCTCTTCCAACGCTAAGATTATATGATTCCTTTCTGTTCCTTTCCCTCCCTTCTTTCCTTTTCCTTTCTTTCTTCCTTCCTCCCTTCCTCCTTCCCTCCCTCCCTGCTCTTCTCTTAGCTTTCCCTCCCTTGTCTTTTCTTTTCTTTACCCTCTTTCTGTCCGGTGATGGCCCTGCGGCGCGGGCGGTCGCCCCGGGCCGTGCGTAGGCGGATTGCCCTCCCTTTTTTTCAATGCCGTTCCAGGCGCGGCTGGCCGCCCGTGCGGGGCGAGGCGGGCCTCGCCGGGCCGGACGTCGGCCCCGGCTGGCCGCGAAACGGCGTGCCCGACACAGTGCAGGGCGAGGCGTGTCACGCTACGGGCGGGACGGGCAATGTGCCGAGACGAATCATTCCGGGTCGTGCACGGCGCGGGCTGGCCCGCCCCGGGCGGATGAGGGCGCGCGCGCCGGTCGGGGAGGGGCTAGTCAAGTGCCCCGCGTCTCCGGAGGTGCGTGGCGAGGAAGGGCACCCGGCTCTCGGAGAGGCTGGCCAGCCCCGTGCCGGGTCCGATGTCTGGCCCGCGCGCGGGCGGTCAATCGGACTGTAATCTTCTGGCCATACACGGGACTGGGAGGCGTGGATAGGCAGGTCACGGGCCCCGGAGGGAGAGGAGTCGGCGGGGAAGAAAACGGAGGGGGGATTATGGTGAAAAGAGCAGAGACAGGCAGGGACAAGGGATATGAGAGTAGGAAAAGAAGAGAGCAGGGGAGGCTGAACCGCGCGAACGGTGACTGAGGTGAAGGGAAAACGGAGCGGATCGCGGTACATAACGGGGAGGTCTTGGTGTGGCGCTTTCGAAGGGAGGGCAGGGCAGGCAGTGCCGGGAAGTGCAGGGCCGGGAAGTGTCAATAGTCCGGTACCGGGCAGGGACATGGAAGGGCCTGGAAGTGTACTTGGCCGGGAAGGGGTGACTTGAAAATGGACCGTTTCAACGAGCGTGATGATTCTGCGGCGATTAGAGGCGTAGTAGAGTCTGACAATCTCTTCTCTTCTCTTCTCTTCTCTTCTCTTCTCTTCTCTTCTCTTCTCTTCTTCTCTTCTCTTCTCTTCTCTTCTCTTCTCTTCTCTTCTCTTCTCTTCTCTACCTTCCTTCCACTTTCTATTCCTTCCCCTTCTTCCTTTCCCTTCCCCTCTCATCCCCTCCTATTTTCTCCCGAGCGCCATTCCTCAGGCTGTTTTCCGACGCGGCCTTCTCTCTCCTCTTAATGGGCGCCTTAATTAAACTGTAATTAATCATACTGTCCGGGGGCCCCTCCCTTCTCCCCAAATGTGAGCCATTGCCCTCATCAATGGCTAATAGTCGCCTGGAGGGGGCTCGGGGGGAGGGGCTTGAGCGAGTGTGGCCCTTTGCGGAAAGGGGGGGGGGGAGGATCCACACCAAAACAAACAAGCGATGGATAGAAAGATGAAGCCCTTTCCTTTCTTTCCTGCCAGTTTCTATCTCCTTCCCGAGGCAGGAAGGGAAAGGCTGACTTTCCCAAGCGTTTGAGTTACACTTCTCCGAATGAAGGAGGAAATGTTTGAAGGAAGTGGTAATATTGTAATTATTATGGTGATTATGATTATGATTATGATTATGATTATTATAAAAGGAGAGGAGGAAAAGTTTGTCACCGAGAAGGAAATAATAATAATAAAAATTATATTTATTATATTTGCTATATTGATTATTATTATTATTATTATTATTATTATTATTATTATTATTATATCTCGGGAGGAAGAGAGGAGGAAAAGTTTGAAGGAAATAGTAGTAGTAGTAGTAGTAGTTCTTATTACTATTATAAAAGAAGAGTGGGAAAGTTAGTCATAGGAAAGTAGAAGTAGTAGTTATTATTATTATTATTATTATTTGAAGAACAACAAGATGAGTCCACAGCAGACACTCTGCTGGCTGTTGTATTGGATCACACGTCGGATTATTATATTATAATTAATATAATATTAAAATAATTATATAAAATATATTTAATAATAATAATAATAATAATAATAATAACCTCCTTTTATTATTATAGTAACATGTTGATAAAAACGACCATACCAAACCTTTTTCTACTTTCTCCCCCCCGAATACAATAATAATAATAATAATAATAATAATAATAATAATAATAATTATTATTATTATTATTATTATTATTATTATTATTATATCGGGGGGAGGGAAAGGAGAAAAGGTTTGGAGGAAGTTATGGTCGTTTTTATCAACATGTTACTATAATAATAAAAGGAGAGGGGGAAACTTTGTCACGGGTCTGGAAGTTGTTGTTGTTATTTCCCTGGGGAGAGGAGAGGAAGCAGCAGAGGAGGAAAAGGAAGTTGTTATTGTATTGTCGAAGGCTTTAATGGCCGGAATCACTGGATTGTTGTGAGTTTTCCGAGCTGTACGGCCATGCTTGAGAAGCATTCTCTCCTGACGTTTCTCCCACATCTATGGCAGGCATCCTCAGAGCTTGTGAGGTCTGTTTGAAACTAGGAAAATGGGGTTTGTATATCTGTGGAGTGAGGCAAGTAACCTCTATGGCAGGCAGGCATCTATGGCAGCAACCTCTGAGGATGCCTGCCATAGATG